TATATATATATATTATGCTGCTGAGAGCCCTTTCATTTTGCTTATTACTTAAAATATTGTTTTTAAATGTTAATTAATACATCTGCTTAAAATACTGTAATGCTCATCACTTTGGTGCACTAGGTGCTAAGAAACGAACTGATTTCCTAAGAAAAATCATGTGAATAACCCTGTTTGGGACTGTTTTCATATTATTGTAAAAAATGGCTCACCATGCTAAAAGTAAGGAAGGCAGACTTACAATTTATTGCCGCTGAATTAGCTGTTGAGAATCTTAAGATTTCATGTTTTGAAAACAGCGATCGTAGTAAATCCTACTTATGAAAAAAAAATTGCGAGAGTAATGCCAAATTCATAAATTAATAGACGAAAAGAAGGACATTATTAAAGGAAATTAGAAAAAAAAAAACATGGAGTTAGAATTACGAAATGCTACTTTAGAATCAGAAAACGCAAAAATAGATCTCGGATTGATGAAGAATCCCTGTCAGATCGTAAGTAAATAAATTTTTTTAAAAACTGAACTTGAGAAAGAATCACTTTAGGAATTAGAGAGGATAAATTTAGAGATTAATAGATTAGAGAAGTTAATAAAAGAGAATGCGACCAAATAATGTAACGATTTCGAAAAACTCAAATACAATTTCAGTTGAGAACACAGCGTTTGAAACATTAACTCTGCCGAATCTCAAAGAAACTTATTTTTTCCTAAAAACAGACTTCAATATTAAAAAAAGCACCTGAGGAAGAGGCAATTCATCAAGTTTACTGGGAAAGAAAGCTGCAAATATTTTAATTTACATTAAAAATGAGAACATAAAATAAAATATATAATTTTCAAAGTGTTTGAAACAGCCCCTTTAGCATGTTTGCCGAAACGCTTCAAAACGTTTGCCGAATAGAACTCATGCATCACGTGTTTTAGTTCATTTTTACTGTAAACTGGGAAACTTTTCAAATTTTTAAACATTAAAAGAGCTAACAATTAGTAATAAATGTTACCAGTGAGTTATAAATTATACCAGTTACTGATAAATTATTATCGATTTGGAAACCTTGACGCACATAAAACAGGAAAGAAATTAGTTTGCACCTTTGATTTGCGGTAAGGCTGGTGATTTATATTTTACATCGAAAAATAATTTAAGTGCATTCTCATAATACTAGATATAGCAGGTACGAATATAACTCATAAAAAGAAAGGAGAGATATCCCCATCAAAGTCAGAAAGAAGAATTAAAACTAAAAGAGAATAAAAGAGGAATTTAAAAAAAATTCCGTTTATATTTTAGTGAGAATCCTATGGCCCCTAAGTGTAATCAAAGATATCTGAATAAAAAAAAAGACTCAAATCAAAACAGACGCAGTTGTAGTTGCAAAAATTTACGCTTCTTCTTCTTTTTCTTCTTCTTCTTTGTCAGAACAACAGCTCCTTGCAAGCCTTGGCGTCCTCAACAGCAAACAAATGACAGCGCCTCCTATCTATGGCAACTCCCTTTCAATTTTTGATCTTTAGGGTTTTCAGGTCATTTTCGATGTCGTTGAGCCATCTAGTAAGGGATGTGCCTCTAGGATGTGACCCCTCGTGGTTCTTAAAGGTGACGATTCTCATGGCGCTATTTTCTGGGCTTCTCCATGGATGACCCAGCCATCTCAGCCTATTACTGCGGATTATTTGTGTAATTTGGGGCTGCTTATAGAGTCGGTGGAGCAGAGAACAGTTTTGTCTCTACAACAGTAACATTTCTTTTGAAGTAGCCTAAAAATTTCCATTTAAAAACCCAATAATTTTTCATTGGATATTTCTATAAATTATAATATGTAACCCTCCTAGGCATTCCTGGTGAGTCTTTTCCGGCCTCTGATGGGGCTATTTTTTTCTTATTTAAGCGATTAATTTCTGATGTTCCATTATTTAGGCTTATGGTACACGACCGCCATTTTCTCAATGCTATTTTTACATTTCTTCTTATCGCTAATTTTAATTTTGCTTTCTTTAATTTTAATAACTTCATTCATTATTTATTTTCTTTTGTAAATGCATTTTTTTTTTCAATTTCATAATTTTCGGATCTAATGGCTATTTATTTATAGACATTAATTTTGTTATTGAGATATCAATGTTATAGGTTTTCGCTATATTAACTTTCGCCATTTTGTGTACGTTGACTTTGATTCTTCTTTTAATATGATTACTGCACTTTAATTCTCTGATTTCTTATGTTATGCCTTTATTTTATCCTTTTCTGATTGATAAATATAACTGTCTTATTTTTGTCTCATTGATTTCATATAATTTTTTAAACATGCATCATTTTTCAAAATTTTTTGTCGATTCTCTCCATTTGAAAATCAAAATAAACTATATAACGAAAAATACAGTTATATTAACTATTCAATTTTACATAATGATTTTTCCAACCAATTATTTTTATTATTACATTATTTCCTTGTTATATTTCTTTTGATACCTTTTACTTGTATTACTTTTGCTTAATACTTTTTACTTGGTGTCTTCAATCAACATAGAAGTCTACGTACACATTGGTAATCATTTTTGTTTATTACACATACCCTAGTGTTATAGTGAATAATGTGTTGGGTAATAGCGCATTGTCCAACGTATTATTTATAATAAGTAATGGTGTTATAATAATTATATTCAATCATTCGTTAGATTTGGTAAAAATTACTACGTATAATAGTACATATTGATTGCATTGATCGTTTAAAATAAAAGATTTCAGTCACTTGTAACCTGTTATCGCGTCTTGTTGTGATTACAGGTAGTCATAATCACTTTTAATCTGAAATCGTTACTTGTAACTTTTGAAATAATTACAAGTAGTTTATTACCATGCATGTTTTATTTGTAGTTGTCATAATCATAGAGTATTCCGTGGCCACTTTTGTTGACCCGTGAAATTATTCAGTTATTCTTGACTATAGAATAAAGAATAATGAGCGATTTATTCTTTATTCAAAATATTTCTGACTAATGAATAAATCTTTATTCATTTTTCAGGAAGATTTTGAATAATTATTCATCATTCTTTATTCATTATTCTGAACGACAAATGCCCATCTATGACTGCAATTATTATTCAAAAGTCGCGGTTGACAGTCAGTAAATCTCAATGTACAGATTTGACCTAAAATCTACTTTTTGATACCATAATAATAATGAGTCTTTGAGTTATGATTCTCATCATGATGGGGCATTCTAAACAGGAAGTACTTGAGTAGTGTATCTCATTTTTGGAGTAAGTCGCACCCTAGCTTCTAAATGATTATCCAGGAGGGAGAAAGAGTTGCATTTGCACTTACGTTACTATAATGTATAGTGAATCTAGCTTGGATTACAGTTCTCTCAAAGCATGGTGCTATTCGAAAAATGCTGGCTCTTGTGAAAGCCTATCCAATTTTTACATCAAGTTACTCTTTAACCTCGAAATTACTCTCAAACAGGAGCAAGTGTTGCAATTGTTTTCTCACCGCAAAAGCTCAAAGTTAGGATCTCACCGCAAAAGCTCAAAGTTAGGAGATCACACCGGCGATACCGTACCTTAATTTCCAGACAATCGTCAGCGAATGTTGCAATTTTTTGACAGGAATCGAGGATCAACTTCGACCATAAGAATAGAATAGGGCTCTAAATTCTCATTGTATTGCCTATTTAAATTAAACAAATGCTTCGATGAGGGGGCCCTTCATTGAAATGACTGCTTGACACTTCCCCCGCAAGAATATTCCTTTTCTTTACCACCTGTGAAATGCTTTAAACGTCAAATTTGGATAACTCAATTTTTCAAAAAAATTCGATAAAGAAAGAAGAATCTATAAAGATCAAAAAATTTAATGTTACCATTTTGAACTGTTTCACGTAGAAAATTTAATAAATTTTAATAGAATACATATTTTGGAATAATTGAATATATTATATGCATACGAGTACTAAAATACAATGTGTTATTAGTACTTTTTTTCATCGAATTTATTTTTTCTTTCCAGCCTGTCATACTTCAAGAAGTCAAGTGTTTCCACACCAACTGACTCTGGTTTATTGAGTGGCTGTTGGACTTTGAATAGACCAAATGCAAAGCCAAGTGTAGTGACTTCGAGTGGGAGTAAGATATACATTTTTTCTTTCCTCGTATCATGAAATTTTGTTTACCAAACATTTTAAAGCTATTTCCCACTAGGCATAACAAAAAGTTTTAATAATAAACTACAAATTACCTTTTTTAAAATGAAAATTAACTTAGTTAATAATTGGAGATGAAGATTCTAAATTAAATAAGATTAATTCATGTTAGAGAAAATGTCTTTTAAATAGAATGTTATGAAATCATACCAGCCTGTATTACCAGCCAAAATATTGTTCAGAAAAGCTTTAAAAATGGCAATTAAAAGACTTTTCTATACGAAGACTGCAGTTTTTAAGACATAAAGTAAACTAGCTGCTTTGAATTGTAGTTTAAATGTCTTTAAAGTAAATTTTTACTTTTCTAGGTAATTTTTTAAAGAAAGATTTTAGTTTTTCTGAAGTTAGAAAAAAATTTAAGTGAAGAAAATTGAAGAAAATTTAAACTCTTAAGAATGACTATAAAATAACCAGTTCCTTTGAGCCCATAATTTTTAAATAAACAATGTTAAAGAAAGTTCGGGGAAATAATAGCTATTTTCAAGAGTTCTGCTGATTCTATCTAGGGAAAAGTTTATAGATATGTCTAGGGAAAAAATTAGCTCGCATGAAGAGGTTAGGATTTTAAAAAAGTGTACCATGGACCAAAAACTTTTTGTACGCTTTCAATAACTTTTGATCTCATAATCAAAATATTTTTTTTTACTATATTATCGAATAATGTATAATAACTATTGATATTTGATATAATATTAAAACTCAATCTTATTGATTCGAGAACCTCACCTTAAACATCAATTAGAGCAAACACTATTTTAACCTCTGACCTGAGTCATAATTGCATTAAATTGACGCCTGAGTCATAACTGCATTGCATGAAAAGCCAACAGAATCAAAATGGAAAGAAACTTAAAAACTGGTTGACAGACTTTAATTCTAACTTATGTAATCAATGTTAGTTCAAATTGTAATGATGTAATTTTTATTCTCACGTAAATAAATTAATAATGAAATAAATAAATCAAATTATTATTACTTTGTTTACAAATAAACAGATGACAAAATAGTTTCAGCTTTTCCACCCTGGTTGTCTCCACCCTGAAAATACCTATACGTCTCGCCGTAGAGATTAAGTTACTAACCTCTTATATAAAAACTGACTGATTTGATTTTCTGGTTCATAAATTCAAAACAGAACTGTTAAAAGTATCATTGGTATTAATTTTTGATAATTTTTAATTACAGTAAAAATAAAGCATTTTTACTCAAAGTTTTTCTAAAGAAGGTATAGAACGGGAAAGAACATTTCCCTGGAGAAGAAAGAAAACATATATTCCTTGAATACTTTCATTTTTTTCCAAAGTTTAACTTCGGTACGCAGTAATTTTAAACATAGAATGAATTATTTTCAGTTATGAGTCAGTCACCCATCTCGCTTTTATTTCATTATGAAATCGGGTATGTTCGTAAATTTCTTGCCTAAATGAAAAACGATGTCTTTGAAATCAGCCCAATATTTCCAAGATTGCTTAAGACTTCTATTAGACACACTAAAAAAGGTCAAAAGTCGATAAAAATCAGTGGGTTTTTGTTAGAAAAATACACTGCCCTAGCGGTGTTTTGGCCAATCAAAAAGGTCCCCTTCACGGCTCCAGAATGGTGATCGGGCATAACAGTAAAGCGATTAATAATTTCTATAAAGGACAGAGTATCCATCGTACATTGTAAATTTAAAACGAAAAAATAAGTAATTAAATTTTAAAAAAAACCTAAGCAAAGCACAATTAAAAGTACAGTAGAACGCCGATTATCCGAACGTCCAATTATCCAAACCATGTCCGAATTCGTCTTTTTTTTCTTAAGTTTATAATACTTTTTAGCTTATCGACAATTTTTCTAAATTGAGAAGAATAAATAATATCCACTACATCTGAAGACCATATTTAATTTACAACCTTTTTTAGCAGTTTTCTTATAGTAGCCATACACACATGAATTGTTATACAGTTAAACCTACATACCACTTCAGCCCTCTTCAACTGAAAATTATCTTCCAAGAATGCGAATTTCATTTTGTCAGTCTACAATGGTTGGAATGAGGAAGGAGTTTATGAATAGATATGTGCTGAAGTTTTACAATTGGGGGATGGGTGCTTGTCACTTATGGTTAATGATTAGAGATTAAAATCTTAAATCCCGGTATAAAATTCTTAACAAAAAAATTAACGAAACTGAAGTTTCTGAACCAGTAAATCTTTCTGATGAAAAGATGCTATGTTATACAGCAAAAGAAATAAATGACAGCTGTCGAGACACTAAAAACGACCCAGGATTTAAAATTTTAAATGATAATGAAATTTTGAATGAGAATCGGAACTCCACAGACAAAGAGGAAGAAGTAGGTGATCAAATTCAAGATAGTGGACCTTCTCATATCGAAGCATGAAATTCACTAGATATTGCAATGAATTGGCTAAAACGTCAAAATAATGTTGATCCAGTTAAGTTGATAGCTGCTGCTCAAAAAAGAGCATCTTCTTTGAAACAAAAGTCTTTGCTGGATTTCTTTTGCTATGGAAAATAAAAAAAACGTGGTAAAATCAGTATTGATATAAAAAAAATTATAAAAAGCAGAAATATGATAAAAATAATTCAAAATGAAAAAAAAATATTTAAAAATTTAAGAAAAATAATAAAGCTTTAAACACGCCTGAGCTATTTCAGATAGTACTGCCAGTCCTAAGCCTAGAGAAAGTGTGAATAGGAAGTTAGTGCATAAATAATAATCATTTAAACTACATTTTAACCAACTTTCCAATTATTAGAACTTTTCATTATCCGAACCATGTTCAGTCCCAAGCAGTTCGGATAATCGTCGCTCTACTGTACAATAATAGTCGTAATCATACAATAGTTTCGGTTCCACGAACTAGAACCTTCCTCAGTGCCAAAAGCCCAAATGATAGAAGAGAAAAAAGGTAGGTACATTATTTACGTCGCTTTAGAGTTGCACAATGAGCTACTGGCGACGGTCTGGGAAACATCCCTGAGGATTATCTGAAGACATGCCATCGCAATTTTGATCCTCTGCAAGGGGGATCCCCTGCTTTGGTAGCCTGGTGACCTGCACTCGATTTCAAGCACTTTACGGTAGAACAGTTTAAAAGAAGAACAAATACCACACACCCTTGGTCCCTATTCAGGGCCGATCAAATTGGTCATCCACCTGCTTACTGACCCCAGCCAGTGATGCTTGATTTGTTTGCTCTACTAGAACCGTGTATTTACAATAAGTCCATTGCGGGTCTGCAGAGAAACAAAGAAACAGACACGTGCAAGGTGGTTTAATCAATAGAGACAGAGGCACAGATTTGAGGAAGTTAATAAAAGAAAGGAAATAAGATTAAAAGTTGGTTGTGATCCCCATCAGTATGAAGGAGATTGAACTGGAATTGTTTTCCAAATGTTGGGAAACTGAGGAATATTAAAAAGTTCATTAACTGAATTATTTGAATTTTTCAGAACATGAAATGATTCTCAGGGATCTAGTTCTGTTTATAAAGAGCAATATTGAATGGAAGAAATTTTGGCGGAAGAAAACTTAAACCCGTGATTAGACTTCCAACTATAAGGTGGAGTGAAATATCAATTAATAGTGTGATTTTGGACATTTCCTTTGTGTTGAAGTCGAAGTTTCAGGGTGGGATTAGTTGTTCCAATCCATACATTAACACGAAATTTAATGAATTTGCCAGTTATCAATATCTGCAATAGAGTCTTTCAAGTTAGCAAAATTTAGTTTGCTTACAGGCACAAAAACTACTTTTTTAAACATAAATGAAGTCAAAATTTTAGTAATTTGGGCAATAGTATTAGGATAGTAAGGAAAAACAGTCAGTTTAGTCGAATTAGAGAGTTTAATGGATTGCGATATTCTAAAGATAAAATCAATCATATTAGAAATAAAACCACGGTCTGTAGCGATAAATTTTAGGTAAAAGAGCTCTTCATTGAGGAGACAACTATTAGAACAAATTTAAGAAGTGTGGTAAACAAGTGTAAGTAAAGCAGCTATCTTTCGTTTAAGGTATTGTTTATGTTATGAGTGGCAACTGAAACCGCAAATGGTTTCCGATGAACAGAAGTTAGAAATTCATGCAATTCCAAGTAATAAGAACCTCTTAGAAAGTTAAGCACTTATTAGTTTTTCGAACGTGAATTGTATCGAAAAATCTATAAAATCCGTACCATTGATAACATAGCCAGCATCAGCATTGTCCAACAATGTCAGCATTACCCATCAATGATGTTCAATTTTAATGCTAAATTTTATCGAATAATTGATGACTTGACTATTTACTTCTTAGGTGATCTGAATAGGCATTATTTTGAAGCAAAACTACTTGATTTATAAGAGTTTCCTTTTTATAGACGATAAGTCAATGATAGTTTGACACTGATCCATTGTACTTAAACTTGATATTCTTCAAAAGACAAAGCTTACTATGTTTATAAAATTAATTATTATAATTTCATGTAAGCTTATTTTGTAGACTTGTTAATCGTGTCGAAATGAATGACCATCCATATTTGAAAAATATAGAACTGTAAGAAAAATTAAACTTTAGGAAAACAGAACATTTGAAAAAATAGGAAAAATTAAAAGAGAAGTATTTTTACACAAAGCAGTCTAAAGGTCCTTTCCTAACAAATTTCCTAACAAAATTCAGGTTATATCATGTAATGTAGTGAGGACTTTTGCGCAAACATTCGGAACACTCAAAAGTTTCCAAAATTACTGCAAAAAATACTGAAACCTACTCACAGAAAACAGAAAACAACATAACCATTTTCTGAATTGGAGCCGTTTGCAAACCCGTGCATTTAGTTCGAAGTTATTTATTCAAAGTTTCGTCTTAAAATCTGTCTTTCTCAATTCACATATTTTCACCTAGAGTGCACAAAAGTGCTCAACTTTTGATAATACCCATGAATTTAAGAAGTGGTAAATGGTTGGAGTACTGTATGGTGCTTCAATTCATACTAGCACTGGAATACTTATTTATTTTTGTCAAAATAAGTCTTTTTTTTTGTTGTTTAAAAATTCAACAAAATTAATATCCGGTACTTCGTTTAAATTAATTAATTATCATATTTTCGGTAAGGCTTTCAAGCTATTAACAGTTGAGTTAGAGTGCATGAAACACAGATCATTAGAATGAAAGTTATTCACGGTGTACTGTTTTTCTCCCTACTGTTTATTGAAACAACTTTAACTAAAAATATACTTTATTCTCACGCTTTTAGTTTTTGAAGTTTGAAGGACATAATTATTGTGATGTTTTGACAATAACTCTATCCTTTTCTCTTAGAATATTTATGTGTGTGCGTGAAACTCAGTTCCCATTTTTAAAATCCAATCAGAATGATTGCATACTGTTTCCAAAAAAATATATATTTCTGAATCTTTTAGTTTTTGAAAGTCTTGCCTGATATCCTGGCATCAACTGTGACATCTTTTTCCGTAATAATATTTATGTGTGCACATGAGTCTTTGAGCCCTTTTTGAGAATGTCTATTTCTAGTCGGTAGCCATGGGAAAGAGAGTGAATAGGGAATTGCATCGTAGCTATAGCTCAATCCTTTTTTTTTTATATGGTGACACATTTTTTTTTAAATAAATTCTTATTCAAGCTAAAAATTTGATACTTGGATGTATTTTTGATGTGATGCGTAGTTTTTGATGTATTTCAACTTTTGCTACTTCGTCCCTAAAAATGCTACATTAGTTTTAAAAACTGGGGTTGAGATGTTTTCATAAATGATGGCATTGAACAACGGGCAGATGTGAAATATTGGTAAGAGTTTGTAACCATTTACTTTCTTCCTCTTTCCTCGATATTTCATGCGTGTATTAGCAAACAAATCCTAATGGCCATAAATTTCCTTCGCTCTTACACGAATCTTAAGAATGTATAAGAGAATGGTAAATTAGAGAACAACCTATGCATTTTAAAATGCTCATTGTAGTTCCAAGTATCTTTCAAATATATAAGATTTTTTAAAGTGCCTGATGGTTTTCAAGTAAAAGAAAAATAATACATGAACAACAAAAAAATGAATGGAAAATAATATCATTTAACAGTAATAAATTACATTAAGCTTTTTGTTTTGTGTTTTACCTAGTTTGATAAGTTATGCTTTAAAAATTAAATAAGCATATTACTGTTCGTTTGCTATTTATTATATTTCATTCAATTATTTCAGCTATAGTTCTCAATATATCCATTGATGAAAGGGAATATATGTATTTTCATCATCCTCCTGAAGGGTTAATATCCATTCACAATCCGTACCGCATTGTCAATCCTCACATTGAAGGCTTCACTTTATCTTTGAAAACACAACGACATACTTTTCATTTAAAGAAGGTAACTCTATTTATACTTTAAAACTCATACTTTTATGCCATTAACTATCTGAAGGTATGCTCTTCGCATTAGGTAAATATTATCTTACCTTTAATCGGCATTTATCAATACTACGATATAGTGCAATAAACTGAACTAAGTTCATAAATATAATAAATTAAACTAAGTTTAATAATTTTTTTTCAGAATTATTTCAAATGGCAATCAAAGCAATCGATCCAAATTACATGCTTACTGCTATATTTTCTACCACAGGGGGCCCAAAAATACTAATTTTCGTTTTTGATTTATAGTCAGCCGCTCGAACTTTTGAAAGACTTAAAATTTACTGATAAGTAAGAAAAAAATCATGATCTGAAAACTTCATAAGTTATAAAATAATTATCTACGTACTTCGTTGAAAAATTTAAAAATGTGAAAAACTGTAAGTTGAAGAGGTCTTAATAAAAGAAAACCTTGATTATTTCGTGAGGCACAGTAATAAAGATCTCAGGGGAAAAAAATTCGAGGTTTTTTTTCCTAATCAAAACGCAAAAACTTGTCCAATGAGTTACGACACCTGAGCCGAAGTCTTTTAGAGAAAATCATTAAAAGTGTAAAACTAAACCTTGGCTGAAGAAGCCACGGCGTCAAAGAGTACCAAAGAGCACTGAGATGTTATCGATATAATCATTTAGGGCACATGGGGAAGGACTATCAGAATAACCAGTTGCAATAAAACCTAATGCTTCCATTGTAACGAGATCGGATATCACGCCAAGACATGCAAAGAGATGATCAAATGCGTTAACTACCATGAAACAATCATGAAGTTTGGATAACGCTTGGAAGTTAAACAGAGTGCTTTGAAGAAGTCCTGTCCATATACCAACGAGCAATAGATAGAATTCAAGGAAAAATAAATTTCAACTAGGCAGGTCCTAGAATCCAACTGTGATTGCAAGCCAATTGTAGCATTCTCCAATATGCTGCACCTTTTATTATTTTTTATTTTAATTATTATTTTAAATTTTTTTTTGTAATTGGTTTTATTGAAACTGGTTCTAGGCCTTCCATCCGGAGGGCTACTTGACAGGTGGCTGCTAATCTGATGCTTGCTCGGTTGTGATTTTCCAATGTAGAGGCGTTTCAAATCCTTTAAAAACTTGAAAAAAAGATATTTATTTTTTTAGAAATATAATTTTTTTTAATAAAAATGGAAAAACTTAGGGTTAAAAAGGGATTTACCGTAGCAAAATTCTTAGTTAATTGATTTAGCCGTCATTCGGTGACTTCAACATCTCACAGTAGAAAAGTATCCAACAAAATCTACACATTTTTGCCACAAATATTTTTGAATATTCTTTGATAAAAAATGAATGCAACGTAGGGAAAAAAACTAGCAATGTTTTACATTTGCAAAGGAACATAAATACATAGTTAAAAAAAAATTGTAATTTTATTGAAAATGATTAAAACAAACAAAATATTTCCTATAAAAAAGTAATTGCTCGATTTGCATACATTTAAAAATAATAAAATTCTGATCACAAGTTAGATTTAAAATTAACGAGAGAAAAAAAATATTAGATTGCTAAAATTTTTATTCTATGCAATACATTAAACTTTTACTTATAAAGAAGAACAGCTAAAATGTTTACTAACAGTAACTTAATGTTTATAGCTTTAGAAAGATACAATTCCCAATTTACTTTGAAAACATATTGACTTGTAACTGAGCATTCCAAATCATATTACTAAAATTGAGAGGAGGAAGGTTTCTTTAAAAAATTCTAAACGAGTTGTTTACCAGAAAAACGTTAACAGCCATCAGGTGATTCACCAAACAAGAGTCTAAAGCGGTGTTGGATTCGCGGCCCAGTAATTGGCTACAGACGAGTTGGCGCTGAGGATCTTGGATTCACTGTTTGGTGTGGGCAGGCCTCTTCAGCTCATGGACAAGATTGTGGTCCTTGCTTACTGCTCGCATATTGCATGTTTCGTTCGACTCTGACGACAACTCATTCATTTCCAACAAATGAATTTCTTGGGTGTTACAGTTTAATTAAAAAAATAATTTGTTGGTGCGAATAAAGTAAAGTTATTTATGTATTAAAAATGGATAGGCTGAAATTATTTGGTAAAGTACTTGCATTTGGATATAGCCATGATAGAAATAGTTAAATGATTGATTTTTTAATAATCAAATTAAGACCGAAAATAGTATAAAAGGTAATTAAATTAAGGGGAACGTGATCGTTAAGGAAAGTGGTAGTACAATGCTATCGTGGTATAACAATAACCCATTAGGTGCAAAGGGTCACAAAGTGTGAGGTTTGAACAAATTGGATAAATAGGTATCACAAAATTTTGGAATAAGGGCGAAACTAAAATAAATTAAAGGTTAAAGATAAATACGATAATGGCATGCTATATCCAGACATAAATATATCATTCAATGTAATTTAGTCAATATAATGTTTCCAAAGAGAGTTAAGTAAATGCCCATAACAATAAAGAGGTACTCACCACATACAGGAGAAATTGATGAAACAACGAATTGAAGATTCACATAACAGCAACTGAATTTATTTTTATTATTTCTTTTAAATCACGAAAGCACACACAAAAAAAATAGTTAAATATTAATTTAGAGATATTATCTCACTAATGACAAGGTTTTTGCGGAGAAATGAGTAACAAAAATTAAATTAGAAAAGGTTATAAAAAGGTTCGCAATCAAAGGTGAATTTGAAGAGTGATAAGAAAAATACAAAATCATTTAACTTACAGAAATTACTGATTTACGAAGAAAATTTAAAGATACGAAAGGGTTGATATGAAGAACATTAAATTATTGAAAATTATAAAGATTTTAGAGATTCGACATTGATATTTTAGGTTAAAAAAAATTGGGATGTTGGGAAAAGAATTAATTTCCTCGATACGGACTGAAGTCCGCATCTCGGAGAAAAAAAAGTAACAAGCAAGGAGGTTAGAGAGAGAATGTATCAAAAGTGACTTAAAAAATTCGTTAACTGGTGTAGGACCAGGAAAGTTACAGCCAATTAAATCTAAAGAGGAGGAGAGTTTGAAAAATTAAAGGAAAGAGATTGGTTGGTAAGCATCCCTAAAAAATAAAAGAAGTAAAAAAGAAAGAGGAGTTTATTCTTCCCCACAGGAAGTGCGATGACCGGGTTGACCATGAGGGAGATCAACAAGAAAGTTAAAGTAAATATAATTGCTATATTGGAGGGGAAAAGAAGGAAAAAGGTTTAAAGAAAAATTAACGGCTTAGGTTAAGTTAAAGATTAGATTGTCACTTTACATTAAGTGTAAATGTGACATTGGGCTTAAGGCTTCAACTCTTACATTTCTATATTTTGGAACAATGCACTTATTTTACATTGAATTTTGTGATTTATTTCAAATGATTGTGTGTACAGATGCTTTAACATATTTTATCAATTTTTGTACCAGTTGAGAAAGACAAAGGTGAAGCCAGAGATACAATTCCCATTCATAGAATGGTTTTAATTTTTCTTTGCTCTGTTTACAGGTGGTGAAGAAACTTCTTCCATATCCATATGACACTAATTGCATTGATTACATATCCAGGTGGAAAGAAAGAGGAGGCAGGGGACCAATGAATAATGCAGTAAGTAAAAATAATAAGTATCTTCTTTTCTAGCCATATACATATTAGAGCTGGGAGAAAACCGCTATAGTGATTAACTTTATTTTCAAGTTATTTTGAGTTTAGAATAGATGCTTTATTTAAAAGGAAGAAATTGGCAAAAGAATATTGAAAATGGGTTGATGCCTCGCGCATGATACTTAAAACTCATAAAGACTGAGAAATGTGAAAACTTTTCAATGTCAATTAAAATTGTGCAATTGTCATGTTGTAGCTTCTAATGCATATTTAATAGTTTAAAAAAAATGAAATACATTAAAGTATCGTTATTAACTCTATGATTTCTAATTACTAATTTCTCATGAGCTCGAAAAACAGGAATTGTATACATTTTTTCAAATTTCTTGCCATTTACTTTTGCGGCTAATGAACCACCACATCCACTTACAACTGTGCATTTCGCTTGCTATAGTTTCTTATGTTTCTATTAAGGATTTAAGAAAAGGAAATAAATGTAAATTTATTTATAATTTCTAAGTACACTAGAAAAACCCGGAAAACATAATTTTTTCAATTTCTTGCTTTATACTGCCATGGTATATTAGCTACCACATAAAGAAGGGCAAGGTTTTGAATGCTCTTACAACTGTGGATTCCTGAAAAGATTGCCCTGAAGAGATTTCGTTCACAGCAAATTATCAAAACATGAATGATGCTTACACGAGAAATTCTTATCAAATTTTCAATTGAAACAAACAGCAGACGTGTCTGTTTTTCTAAAGAAGCAAGGATACTAAGTCAAAAAATATTATGATCATACAGCAAAACATCTATGCTATGTCTAACTACAAGATTATTAAAATATTATATGTTTATCGTAATTTGTAGGAATTTGTACAATTGTCAAAGAGGCAAAGAATTATTATAGCGGAAGGGATAACTTGATTGGCCATCCTCGCAAGTCATGGACTCCTTGTGTGGTAAATGGTAACTGGTGCACATTAAATCTGTCTAGTCACAAAGCCTCCCATGTTCCCATAGCAAATCAATACATCTGGAGGTTATGAATTGGAGATTGATTGTTTTCTAGTTTAGGTCAAAATTACGATCTGTGGATTACGATCTGTACTCATGTCCATAACTTAAGAATACTTTAGAATCCCACGAAAAGTTAATTGTAAAGTAAAAATTTCTCCTGTACATTTATCACGCAGATCTTCAAAATTACGAGGCAAATTACAGGGAACCAACAGATGACGCCGATAGTACGTCACAATGACGAAAATGTAAGAGAGGAGTTCATAAGGTATGGTTGCAAATAAGTAAATTTGTTCGCAAGTTTTCTGTAAGTCATTCAGTGTCATAACCAAATAGTTTATGACACGGTGGACGGTTTCTGTGTTCGTGAAATTGCCCGACATTTCATCTCTAGGCTAGGCGTTTCATATTAAGATGGAAATGTCAGCAGACGTTACAGTACATGCCACCACTGAGTGTCAATGTCAAATTTATAGCCGAATGAGAGCACCGCATCCAAGTAATCACGGGTACTACAGCATCAAGGCAATCCGTGTTCAAACATTAGAGAAATATTGGAATAAAATGTCTGTCATATCTGTTTTACTCTCGGGAACTCACTGTTCACAGCAATCAGTCTGGAGGTGGTTACAATGGGTTGTTCTCCGAGGAATCCAGGTTTAGCTTGCAGTCTGATTCACGTTGGAATTCTACATGGATTACCCATGACCACCAATCGTAACCATTACGGTGGTTTAGGATTGATCGTTTGGGCTGGAATTATACTAAGCACCAAAACTGCATTTTCAAATCGGAACCATAATAGGCCAAATTTTTCGAAGCGTCATTCTGAAGCAACGAGCTTGGAAGAATTTCGTCTGTCACTTTCTTCATGTGTGCCGGAATTCGTAGAGCATTGCTTGCTGAGAGTAGATAAGCTCGATATTACGATACTTGGCATACCACATCGTTGTACGGACAGTAGTTTACTATATGGGAGATATGCAATGTATTAACCAATGTACTAACCATACCAACTATGCAATTAAGCTTTTCTAAAGAAGATATTTTTTAAAATTAACCTTAGATGCAAAAAATCGTTGTTTTTATGAATGATATTGTGGCGAAATCATCGTACTTGATTCTAAAAGTTCATGCTCTGGCGAACCTAAAATATGCAATCTACGCTCAAAGTAATTTTTGTTATCTATTTGAACTGAACTGAAGTTCAAGAAATAAATCGTGGTCATCTCAAACTTCGTTACCATCGAAACCATTGCGATACTTTGTTCTTTTTCTCTACTTTTCTTTACTTTACTTATCTCTTTTTTCGGTAACCTGCCTTACGTTTTTCTTCAGCTTTTACTTGGTCAATTATTCTTCTATGGTTTTAATTTTGTTAAGTTTTCATTAAAATTATGTTTAAATTTAGCATTTCTCCAAATTATTTATCTTTGGTGACAGACTCAACTGAACACGCAGACTCATAAATAACGCAGCCGTTTTCTCGCCAAAGATAAGTGGTGACCCGGTTTTTTGTGGATTTATCGCCTCTATTCCAGTTTGTGGATTGAATTCTTCTCATATGCAATTGTACAACATTAACATTTTCCATTGAAATTTCCAGAATACTGTAAAATATGCCATTGCCGGAAGATAATAGTTCAGAAGCAGTACCAGTGTCGGAAATATCACGAATAGCAGTCAAACCTCCACCTTTTTGGAAGAATAATCCTAAATTGTGGTTTGCCCAAATCGAAGCCCAATTTGAAATTTCTGGCATTACAAGAGAAGACACAAAATTTAATCATGTCGTTGCCGCCATTGAATCTCATATTTTGGATTCCATCCAAGACCTGATTATCAGTCCACCTGGAAGTAATCAATATTCCGTTTTGAAGACACGACTCATAGAAATCTATGCTGAAACCGAAACTTCAAAATTACGAACTTTATTACAAGGTGTTGAACTTGGCGACCAGCGCCCATCTTTACTGTTAAAAAGAATGCGAGATTTAGCAGGAAAGCATTTCAGCGATGATTTACTAAAATCACTGTGGCTTGATAGACTACCAGCTAATATAAAATTAGTGTTGGTTGCTTCTAGTGAACAGTTAAATAACTTGGCAACTATGGCTGACCGAATTCTAGAGTTTGTTCCTCAAACTTCAGTCAACTCTACTACAGCGCCAGACCCTACACCGAAACATCCAAGTTTGGAACATCAAATTTCAGAGTTGTCTAAACAAGTTGCTAACTTGATGGAAATAGTACATAATCGTCAAAATTTTCATAGGTCTAGAAGTCCATCTTTTAATCGCCAAATGTCACGCAACGGACGTTCTCCGTTCAGACGCCAATATGTTGAACCTTCTAATGAATTTTGTTTCTACCACACCAATTTCGGAGCCTCAGCAAGAAAATGCAAGAGTCCATGCAAATTTCGAACTGTAACCAGGGACGTAACTAAACATTCGGAAAACTAAAAAGGCGGTTGCCTAACGGCCGAAACAATCGCCAGATTGACAGAATTCTACTGGCCGATCGTAAGACTAATATCAAATTCCTAGTCGATACAGGTGCTGATGTCAGCGTTATTCCAAAACATAAGTTGTGTTGTAAGGCTGACCCTACACTTCACCTGTATGCTGCTAATGGTACAGAAATTCATACCTATGGAACAAAGTTATTAGATTTAGATTTGAACTTAAGACGCCAATTCCGATGGAAATTTATTGTTGCTGACGTTAAGCAACCTATAATTGGTATAGACTTTTTAACAAATTTCAATTTATTAGTCGATGCTCGACACAACTGTTTGATTGATGCCAATACGAAACTTTCGTCATCTGGGTTCCGAGTTCAAAACCAAGACTTTACTTTTAATTTAACTACCTTGTCTGAGCTTTTGACAGAATATAAGAAAATTTTAGCGGAGTTTCCAACATTGACAAATTCTTGCTGTTTAGGTAAACAGAAACAAAATGCTCTAGTTTCACACTTCATTGAGACTACAGGCCCTCCTGTGTTTGCCAGACCTGGAAGATTGCGACCGGAACTTCTGAAAGCAGCTAAAAAAGAATATTCTTATTTAATGTCATTGGGAATTATACGCCCGTCTAAAAGTCCATGGTCTAGTCCTTTACATATGGTCCGAAAAGCGAATGGTGACTGGCGACCATGTGGCGACTATCGCCGATTGAATGCAGTTACTATTCCCGACAGATATCCCGTACCCTACATTCAGGACTGTACTCAAATGCTTGAAGGTAAGAAGATATTTTCCAGTTTAGATTTAAGTAGAGCGTATCATCAAATTCCAGTTAACCCTGAGGATATACCAAAGACAGCAATTACAACCCCATTTGGTTTATTCGAATATGTATTTATGCCATTTGGACTACGAAATGCCGGCCAAACTTTCCAGCGCTTTATAAATCAAGTATTATCAGGTTTAAATTTCTGTATACCCTATTTTGATGACATTCTAATTGCCTCCACCGATGAACAAGAGCACAAAGTACACCTTGAACTCGTATTTCAAAGATTGGCCGAACACGGTTTAACTTTAAACGCTTCTAAATGTATCTTAGGCCAAGACTCTGTTTCTTTTCTGGGATGCTTAATCACACCTGAAGGGGTTAAAGCACTCACGGCTAAAGTTGAGACTATTTTAAACCTGCCAAAACCTAAAACAATATCCGACTTAAGAAGATTCTTGGCAATGCTTAATTTCTATCGTCGTTTCATTCCTAATGCTGCACAAACCCAAGCTGTACTTCATGATTTTCTTAAAAATTCTAAGAAAAATGATAATAGATTGGTAAATTGGACTGATAAAGCTATATCTGCGTACGAAAAGTGTAAGCGTGACCTCGCCAATTCAGCCACATTGGCATATTTTCCTTCAGCTCATCCAATCTCCATTACAGTCGATGCTTCAGAAGTTTCCTTAGGCGCAGTCTTACAAGCGCACACGACCTATTGCTTTCTTTTCACGGAAATTAACTCCAGCTGAAAAGAAGTATAGTACCTACGATAGGGAATTATTAGCCATCTACTCTGCCATACGACACTTTAGAGATTCAGTCGAAGGAAAATATTTTTCTATCTTCACAGATCACCGTCCACTGGTATACGCTTTTAGGAAAAAGCATGATACTTGTTCGCCAAGACAATCACGACAACTCGACTACATTTCCCAATACACCACATACATTAAGCATGTTTCTGGAGCTGACAATGTGGTAGCTGATACCCTGTCTAGGATAAACGATATTTGAATAGCTAATGCAAATCTGGAAGATATTGCAAAAGCTCAACAGGATGACCAGGAACTACAGAACCTATTGACAAATTCATCTTCATCACTTCAGTTATAGAAAATGGAAGTTCAGCCGAACGTTTTCCTCTACTGCGACGTGTCCAGCGACCTTGTGCGACCGTACGTGCCTGTCAATCATCGAAAGATTATTTTTGACAGTTTGCATGGCCTTTCACACCCAGGTATCAATAGCACTAAAGTACTGATCAAGCAGAGATTTATCTGGCCGTCAATAAACCGAGATATTGCACACTGGACACGTTCTTGCATAGACTGTCAAAAATCGAAGGTTCAAAGACATACTAACAGTCCTTTGCAGAGTTTCAAGTTACCTGATCATAGGTTCGAACACATCCATATTGATTTGGTTGGACCTCTCCCACCTTCAGAAGGCTATCGTTATTTACTAACCTGCATTGATCGCTATACTCGATGGCCTGAAGTCATACCCATCTCTGACATCTCTGCTGAAACTGTTGCAAAATGTTTCGTTACCAATTGGATTTCCCGGTTTGGAGTGCCAGCTGTAATAACAAGTGATCAAGGCCGACAATTCATGTCAAAATTGTTTGCCAATCTATCGTCCATGCTGGGAATAAAAAGAATACGTACCACTCCGTATCATGCTATGGCAAATGGTATGATCGAACGCCTGCATAGAACCTTAAAGCAAGGTATTATGTGCCACAACAAACTTCGATGGACCGAGACTCTTCCTATCGTTTTACTAGGAATCAGATCAGCATTTAAAGATGACTTGAAAGGTTCCTGTTCTGAAATGGTTTACGGCACAGGTTTACGCCTACCTGGCCAATTTTTTAACCCTTCCACAAAACCCATTGAAGAGTCTACTTTCATTGAACACTTGAGGGAGACAATGGAAAAGCTTACACCCGTTCCTGCTTCTGATCATTCTCGTCAAACCTGTTTCGTACATCCCGCCTTAAAAGATTCTACTCAC